CATCTTGAATGGACCAAGTTGTCTAAAGGCAAAGGTTTTACATGTTTGTTTTTACTATGGGTTACTTAATAAAACATAAATCTCATTTATTAATCCCTGTATAAAGCTATCAGGATTTAAAATAGCGGAAACAAGAAGCCACCAAAATAATTGTTTTCATTCTCCATTAATTTTCTCCTTAAAGGCTTTCTCTCTTTCACACCAAATGTCACTTGAAGCTGTTAAGAGAAATACTAAGAACATCACTTTTTCTTTACTTAGTGTTCTTTTTCACCAGCAAATCATTTTGTTAAAATCCTTACGAGACATAAGAGAAGATACAAGAAAGTAAATAGTGACAAGGGGCTCAAATTAGTTTAAAAATAAGGAACTGGGCTCAGAAAACCAAAGTGACTTAGATCACAGAGAAAGCGAGGGGGGATATTCTTTTTCTAAGAGCTCAGTGTTTTAAGCTCCCCAGCTTCAGCACAAAAGGCATTTCAGCAATATGTGATCCGAAGGTCAATCACATGAAATCCTATTTCCATGTTTTAAGCAGGCTGTGACAGTCTGCACATTTCTGAAATTGCAACTGGCATATTTCACAGAGAATTATCATCAATGCCTTTTCAAGGTCAGATGTGCTGCATCTTTAGATTTCTGGCATTTATACCCCATACATTAGATCACAGTATATATTTAAGTAGACAATGAAGTAGGTTTAATTATTTAGGCACTGTTTATTTATGCCATGTTGATATTTTTCTACTTGACATAAACTGCATGGGAAAACAAAACAACAAACAAACCCTGAAATATGTGTTACATTCAAATGTGGGTGTCTTGCAGTTGCCAGCATCCCAGGAACCCTTAAATGCTTGTTTGAATAGAACCCAGTTCATGGGTTTCTTAAAATATTAAGAACACATATTTCTCACTGGGAATGTTGAAGCAGTATGAAAATGTACATTGAGGAGAGAATAAAGATTTTTGTCATTTTAAAGTTGTCAGAACTCCGGACACTAGTCTTTATATGAACAACAACAAAAACAAAACCCTGAATTCAGACTTTACAATGAGGCTGAGACTCTATCACCTAGGAAATGCGCACAGTCAGTCCCGCCACAAGGTAGGAAGGCAGGGTTCTAGGCTCCTTCTTCAAACCATTGCTGATCTGTCTTCTTTCAGTTTTCTCTCTCTAACCCACTCCCCAAAAATATCCAGAGATATCTATGCCATTTTGCTTTACATGGGTTTTGCTTTTGGAAAAGAAAAGTAAGTTGGAGCAGTTTCAACAATTTTGGGCTCTAGTAGTATTCTTTTTCTTCCAAAGATATTTACACTTTAAATTAGAATTCCAGAAAGAGATTTGGGGGAGGGATGAGCAAGGAAGACCAGGGTTATAAATAGCAAGACACACACTACGACGTTTAGTTCCTAGAACATGTAACCACTATGGGAATAGGAAAAAATGTTTTGGATATGACCACCTTCACTTAGGTGTAGAGTATATGCTACTGTTAATGCTCAGATGTGCAATGGGTCGTTTTTACTTTACCATGGAGTGTCTATCCTGGTCTGTCATTGAAGTGAAGCCTGGGTGTGAGCAATTCCCTGAAGGGTCCTGCTGTGGTATAGCCGTTCTCTGATCAGTCCCTTCACCTCTGGGTGGGATCTGTCACACCTTGGTTTTCTTCTTAGCGTACTGTGGCCCACTGAGAGCTGCCGTAGCCCTCCAAGCCCTTCTCTTCACCCCGCTTTGCAACTGCAGCTGTGCTGAAGCTTCCTGCAGAGCAGGAGGACTCTGCTCAGCAACTCTGCTCCTCTGTCCCTTTACCTGCTGGTTATCCTCAAGTACTCTGGTTTTGACACTGTTCGGTTCTTCATGGTTTCCATCCTCCATCTCCCCTATCATGGAGGAATCAAGTGCCACAAGGACCACGTCTTGGTTTTTTGTCCATTTCTAAATATAAGTCCTAGGTATCCTGCTGTAGGCTCATGATCATGAAATCTAGGGAAGAGGAAGATGATCCTCACACTTACAGCTTTAATTTCACTTTGATCTCTCCCTGAAGTCCCAGATCTTTTATCTAACTCTACATCCTGAATCTACATGAGCACTTAAAAGCCTTTCAAAATTTGCATATCAAAATTGGCTCCCATTCTCTGCTACTGACCTTGCAGGCTTTGACATTTCATTATCGTTTTACATATGTGTCCTTATACATATCTTCCTCCTAGTTCAAAGCAACAACAAAACACAATAGAAAGTAATAAAGTGGAACCAACTGGAAGCCCCTTGTCCTTCCTTTGTCTCACATAGCTCTGGAATTTCATCAGTCAGAAAGCTCATTTGATACCTATAGTCTTCTTATTCACGCCAAATTTACTTCCGCCATCTTAGTTCCAACTATCTTAAATTACAACAAACCACGAGGTGTGATTTAAACCTGTATTTTACTCCATTCTCAAACCATGTTAAATTTAAGCTTTGCCTCCTTTTAATGAATGAGGTGGAGATAAATGTCTACAGATAATGTTTCAGTTTTTCAGTGCAGCAAGTAATCTTATATGCTTTATGCCATAGCTCTGGAAAATTGTCTTATAACTGTAGCAAAAACAAACTCAAATTCACAGAAGTGCAAGTTTAACGTATCTATCATCATGTAGTGACAGGGTTTTCATGTGGCTACACCTATCTAGACACTCCCTTCTGAGTGCCCTGGACTTCCTACCCAGTTGCTGTTTATATCTCTTTAAACACATGACATTGAAGCACCTAAAAGTCATCCATTCCTGGCATCACTATGTTTAGATGTGATTGTTAATGACGCAGTAGACCAGACGGATGCACTGTGGTGTTCTCTAAGGACTAATGGAAAGAAAAACCAAATAATTTAAAAAATATTTTATTGATTTTATTTTTTATTTTACATGTATAATTGTACTGCCTGCATGTATGTAAGTGTACCCAGGTCATGCAAGGCCTGCAAAGGTCAGAAGAGGGCATTGGATCCCCTGGAATTAGAGTTATGGATAATTGTTAGCTGCCATGTAGGTGCGGGAATTCAAACCCGGGTCCTCTGCAAGAGCAGCCAGTACTCTTAACCACTGAGCCATCCCTCCAGTCCCCAAAGCAAATTATTTTATTTCTATATTTTAAAAAATAGTTAACTTTTGATGGGGCTGGAAAGATGGTTCAGTGCTTAAGAGCACTGCAGAGGGCCTGGGTTTGATTTCTAGCACCCACATCATAGCTAACAACCATCTCTAACTCCAATCCCAGAAAATCCAATGCCCTCTTTTCACCTCTGTGGGCATTGTACCCATGTAGTATACTGAAATGCATGCAGGCAAAACACTCATACTCCCAAAAAATAAATTTTCAGGAATTTTGAATTTTGATTGCAAAATTACAAAACTGAAGATCGGAATGTTGACATTTCTTAGAAATCATGTAACCCATTCTTTTTGTTTGGAATTTTTTAAATCTCAAAAAGCAAAATTAAAGTAAAATGCTCATATAAAAAAGCAGTCTGCCAGAAAAACTACACAGAAAAGCAAAATTATTAAAAAGGCACTTAATGCACCCTAACACAGAGTCTTTAACTTCAAATAAAACTGGCTAAAATGTTCATAGTCCAGCAGTTAAATAGTGAACTCTTTCAAAATGCTTTTCTAAAGTGCTCTTTTACGTTCTCATTCTGTCTCCCTACTTCTCCCCTCTGTCCCTTTCTCTACCCCTTGTTCTCTAATAAAATTATTTCACTAAACTATTGGTTTTGTGCAAGATTACTATCTTCTTTATATGATCAAATAGTTCAACTTGAAAGAATTTTTATTTTCCCCTAATACTACAATCTTCACAGAGAGTAAGCAAAAATACTAATGATAGATTATATGAAAAAAATCTTCTATAAACCATCCAAATGTCCTATCACCATTCAGTCATCCAGATAACTGAATGAATTAATTTCCTACATTTTGAATTCTTTATTTATTTCTAAATATTTTATTTACTATCTTTATATTTTTATGTGTATTGCCTGCATGTAGGTAAGTGCACCCATGTCGTACAATGCTCGCGGAGGACAGAAGAGCCTATTGGATCTCCTGGAACTGGAGTTACGGACAGTTGTTAGCTACCATGTGGGTGCTGGAATTCAAACCCAGGTCTTCTGCAAGAACAGTCAGTGTTCTTAACCGCTGAGCCATCTCTCCAGCCCCTACATTTTGAATTTTTGAACTTAGCAAATCAACTCCAGGGACAAAGCAGGACTCCATCAAACAACACGTCTCCACAAAAAAGCATACACAGAAATACAGCCCTTCCTTCTTCTGAAAAATAAGAGTTGTGTGCCCTTCTTTTGTGTCCACATCCTAGGAAGCTTAACCTCCATTTGGCACATGGCAATCCAGGTCTCATTAGTTTGTGGCTAGTTGTATTACATCACAGACACAATTTCATTGAAACAAACTTTGGGCACTTGGTACCAAACAAGAAATGCAATAGTCATAAAATTCTGCTCAGGGAGTATACACTGAGGATTCTAACTGCCATCCAAAGCTTACACACATCTAATTATTCATAAGCTTTGGCCATATTCTAGGAAGAAGATGAACTCTCTTTTAAGGTAAGAATTATACACATAGGCCATTAAAGGTGGACATTCTCATAAAACTTTGGCTATTAATGTTTCTGTGCTCCCTAGTGTTTTTATGAAGACGTTATTGAACATGAACTTTTATGTGGAGAAAATTGAATTCTTTCCTCAGGCCATCCTGCAGAAATACTTCCACATGTACAACACACTGGCAAATATTTGTTGTTAACTAAAGGGTAGGATCTGTCAGCAGGATAGACAGAGTGTTTGCTAGAGTCAAGGTGTCCCTTTCACCGTGTGTCCCTTCAAGTCTCCCTGACTCTGACTAGCTCCTTCTTGACCAAGTGACAGCAGCAGAGCCTTGCAGGGCCCCTCATGGGCACAAAACTTGGAATAAATACACTTATTTACACTCACCGTTTGATTGCTTCTTCCTGCCGTCGCCGTTTCTCATTCTTCTCCTTCAGGTAAGCCAGGTTTGTTTCATTTCTCAAGCGATCATTCTCTCGAGCAATGTCAGATGCATTTTGAATGACCAGGCCGTCATATGCCTTCATTCCCATATCCTCAATATACTGGAGAAAGCTGTCCAAAGGGTCTTCCTCAGCATTCATCATCTTGGAAGGTATCATGGGAAAGGGATGGCCGTCCTGCAAGTTAAGAACATGTCATACCTTCGGCAAAGGAGGAGGTGAGTGCTAGGTGCTGGGCTTTGTCCCTAACATTTTGCCAGCCCACATCTCCAAGGAGTTATCAGACTCATTGGAATTTGTGTGGCAGTATCAAGTTATAATACTGAAGTTATGGGGCAGGTGAGCTAGATCAGTGGGTAAAGGCACTTGCTGTCAAGGCTGTTGAACTGAGTTCCATGCCCAGAACCCACATTGTAGAAAAAGAGAACAAACTCCCATAAGCTATCTTCTGACCCCCACATATAGACTGTGATATGCACAGGCACACACACACACCACACACACACACTAAATAAATTAATGCAATAACAAATTTAAAAAAATTATTTAAGTTGTGGTAGAGCGTGAAGCCATTGTAGAGGACCAATATGCAAAATAATAGAGTCAAGTAACATTATGTCATGTTCATGTTACATTCAGAACATGTTTTTCCTTGATCAAAGCTGTATTCTGTATAAATAATTCAGATTTATATATATTAGGTTGAGTTTTCCATTTGGAGAAAATGTTGCATTAGGATTACAAGGCGCTGGAGACTTTGAAATGATGTGAAGTGGGTATAACTTGCCTCTCAAATGCTGCCTTCTAAGCAGCAACCCTGGCATCACAGAGGCCAAAGGTCTGGCATGCCTGACCACGGTGCGGAAACCGGGTCTCAAGATAAACATTTGGCTTACGTACAGTCATGATTTTGTTTTTCAAAAGTATGTTTTAAGCCAGGCATGGTGGCACACGCCTTTAGTCCCAGCACTCAGGAGGCAGAGACAGGCAGATCTCTGTAAGATCAAGGCCAGCCTGGTCTACATGATGAATTCCAGGCCTGCTGGAGCTACAGGGAGAGCCTGCCTCAAAAGGACAAAAAAGAAAAAAGTTTTTATGTCAATAACACAATAGATCCAAGTTTTATATTGTTTTTCATTCCTATAATGACTTTTCCATGCAATTTCAAATAAATATTATAAGCTATTTTGGGAAAAATGTATTCTACAATTTTTCTTAAACACATTAAAATTTTTCTCCAAACAAAATATAACAGCAGTCCAGAAAAGGCATACTTGCTAATTACTCTTGCCTTTACTTCTCCTTCACATCTCCTATTCATGATTCAAGAACTTTCTTTTCCCCTTAGACACAAAAGTTATGCAATTTGGGAGTCTTTTAGATAGACCCACTGAAGGGGTGCTCCAATTGCCTCACCCTGTGTCCCTGCTCAGCATGCAAGAAGCCAGAGCAGTCGGCATCCCTATTCCCTATTGGCAATCTGGGTAACACTTCAGAGGATGGTGTGATAAGAATAGGAGGTAGGAATTGGCTAGGTAGTAAGGGTAAAAAGACCCCAAAGAAAAGTAGCCAGTTTCTTGGCTAAAAGTCAAAATGTCCTTGGGACTGTTAGCAACATACTCTGTTCCAAAGGCCAAAAATGTCAAAAGTATTTGGAGCTTGTATCTAATCCTTAAGAGATTTTAGGGGTACCTCTTTGGGGGGGGGGACATTGGACCGGAGGGAGTGGGCATGGATTTGATCAAAACACCTTATATACATGTATGAAATTCTCAATAAAGTTTTTATAAAAGTTAAAAAAAAGAAAAGGCATATTTGTGACTTGTGCATTTTCTGTGACCATATGTGGCTCCATCTCGTTTCTTTACAATTGCTTCATATTGTAATTTTCTATAGCACATATTTTGCACAGCACCAGGGCCACATAAATCTTAACACTAGCTTAGATATCTTATTTTGATGGCCTAAAAACTTAAGTCACAGAAACAGTAACTGACTAACCAAAGTCAAATCAAACAAAATTTTAAAACATGGAACTCTAAACTGGGATGTATCACCCTTGTCTGTAAAGTGAGTATGGTAATAACTTTCAGCACCTGTGGATGTGGTTAGTGACAGAGGCAAGGGCTATGAAAAACTGAAAATAGAGCTCAACAGTAGTATGCACATAGAATTAAGTGATATCATGACAACATTATTAAGAAGCTTGGCAACAATAACTCAAAGTGGATGTAAGTGGGTCGATGGAGGGATGGCTGGGTGGATAGAGCGATGGCTACAAGCAGGCTTTGGAAATCACCATGCCTTGAAGAAGCTTCCAAAGAATCCAAGACAGAGTTAGAAAAACTGTGCTTAATCAAATAAAAAAATAAGAAAAAAATAATTACATAAAATAAATAAATTAATCTTCTTGCTTAATAAGGCCTCTGATCCTCAATTTTACATCCACTGGAATAGAAAATGGATTCAATCAAATGTGGGATATGTCTATAATCCCAGCATTTAGGAGGCTGAGGTAGGAAAACATCAAGTTCAGAATCAGTGTAGATCACATAGAGATCCTACCTCTAAAAAGTGAAATATTATAAACTATTCCTTTTACATCCTTTTTAAAGTTTAGAACTATGTGTCAGTTCGTTAATTTAGTGCAAAAGTCACAAAAACTTTCATGGTTTCAATTACACATCATATTCACTCTGAAATGAAAACGATCATGTTTCATAATCCACATTGTAGCTCTGGAAACTTCACTTCATATTGGAGCTTATCAGCACTTCAGTGTCAGTCATCCATACTTTGAAGGCTATGCAGAATGTAAAGATTTCCTTTCCAGTCTAAGACATTTTAGAAACCAGAGATTGTTTGTGGACTTGAGATGTTTATGTTATAATGTATTACATTTTATTTGATTTTTAAGCCCCAGTGAATTAGAGCTGAAATACTCTTTTAATTCCAACTATCTAATGCAATTGAATTATATTTTAATATCAGTCCATCAGACTAGATGCTTAAGTGGTGGGCACACAGAGGAAGAGGAACACAAATGAATGCCATGGAGGGAGGGGGGAGAAAATATTTCTCAGAGAGCTATAGTATTACCATTATCAAAAATTCACTTGCACCAAGGGTGCCAACAGTAGATATGCCTGGATAAATAAAGATCAGCCTAACTCTATGGCAATTAATTTCACCTAAGTTAAGCAAGTCAACTCAGTGTTAGAAGCCTGCTAAGGATAGTGCCTCAGGCTGGAAATGATCACTGCCATTCTGCCCTCTAGCAAAACTGTATATTTCTCAGCTGTATGAAGCATTATTATCCAAAGGTTTGTATCTACTTATTCATTTATTTATTTTGCTGAAATTTTCTACCAACCCAGATGACACTAGCAATTGTTGCACAGTTTACATATTTTAATTATTAACAAGGTTAGCTGATAATTTCTAAACATTAGTTATCACTATAAATGCCCTTCCACATTGTCTGAAATTTAAATTGTTTTCATTCCAAGAAAATGAGAAATATTATTATTATTAAGTACTGATATAAGGGAAAGGTATTTTTAATGCAGGTGGGACATTTGAGATGAAAATCCACCATAATATAATAAGACTTCACACAATGGAAATGAGTTGCATGTATACATGGGTTCACTTCCAACTGTAGAAAGATATTTGGTCCTACGGCCATCCATCTATTTAAAAGTTCAATGAGCATTTATTATAAATGAGACACTGAGGGAGGCCAGCCTCCCCTTCCAGGTGTTGTAACCCAGTAGACAATCACAATGAACAACTATGTTACATGTAATTACAGTATTGTTTCCTTCCCTAACTGGTCATGTATCCTTTATTTTTACTATTTTTGAGGGTAAAGAATGCTAGCCTTCAGGAATTTTATGTAATCTTTAAAATACAGCTAGCTCTGCTAATGATTAAGCATTACACTATTCTGCTTACTGGTCAGTATGTAAAAGCAGTTTTAAGCCAGGAGTGGTAGCACACGCCTTTAATCCCAGCACTTGGGAGGCAGAGGCAAGTGGATCTCTGTGAGTTCAAGGCCAGCCTGGTCTACAGAGTGAGTTCTGGGACAGCTGGGGCTACAAGGAGACCCTGCGTCAAAAAAAAAAAAAAAGACAAAAAAAAGTAGTTTTAAAAAATATTTTATTATTTTTATTTTATGTGAATGAGTGTATTTATTGCCTGCATGTATGTAAGTATACTTGTGTCATGTAATGCCCACAGAGGTCATAAGAGGGCATTGGATGCCCTGGAACTGGAGTTACAGATGGTTGTTAGCTGCCATGTTGGTGCTAGGAACCGAACCCAACCCGGCTCCTCTATAAGAGCAGCCAGGGTTCTTAACTGCTGAGCTAGCTCTCCAGCCCCAGTAAAAGTATTTTGTGATGTAAGAGTGTGGCTCTGAGGCAGTCCTATAGGGCAGAAGTGGAAATTTTTGAGTGTGGCCTAAAAATCTCAACTAAGTAGCTTCTAGGCTTATGGCTTTGTGTTAGTTAATATGTTTAAGCTTCACTTTCCACATTAAAAAGATTGTGGTTGGACTGGACTTATGTTGTGAGGATACAATTAGAAAATGCATGTAAATATTAAATAAACTTGATGACAATCTTATCATCAAAGGCTTTCACCAACTCTTTTTAATATTTAAATGTTTTTATTATATTCCCTTTTCTAGGGAGGGAGGCTCATGCCACAGCCTGAATGTGGAGGTCAGAGGATAACTTGTAGGAGTCAGTTCTGTTCTTCCACCATGTGGGTTCTGGGGATCAAACTCAGGTTTTTAGGCTTGGTGGCAAGCACCTTTACCTGCTGAGCCACCTCACCATCACCTCCATCTTAAAAAACAAAAGAAAATCATTAAAATATTTTTTGACTAGGGCTTTTTTGTTTGTTCATTTGTGTGTGTGTGTGTGTGTGTGTGTGTGTGTGTGTGTGTGTCTTGCCACCTTGTGTGATTCAGGGATAAAACTCATGTCATAAGATCCCCATGCAAGTGCCTCTACCCATTGAGCCATCACACAGGTCATATCACTTCTTATCTATGGAAAAAATTATATTTGATAATATCATGGCTCCTTGATAAACATATTTCATTTGATAAAGGTGGATAGACTATCTAAGGCAGTTCAGCTTCCTTCAGCACAGA